ATCACCGTGGGGAGGGGGGCGATGATAACTTCCTCAATGGCTCAAGGGGGCATTTCTTTCAAAAAGGTTAAAAACCACTGCTATAGCTAATGACATGGTCACAGTTGTACACCATGACTTGTGCAACAGGATTCCAGCCATTATGTCTGTCTTGCTAAAGTACTGAGTTTTCGAATACCAGAGGGGGGGGGAAAAGAGAGAGAGAGCAAATGTCAAAATATATGTAGACAATGGGCTTCAAAAATGACAGCAAAGGTGCAATCATTACATGAAAGAACAGGTTCAATCTGGGAATGCCATGCAGTCATCATCATTGTCACTAGGATTACCTTTTACTGACTTTGGTTAACATATCATCTGTTCCCCTGTCTGGATATAGTCTCGTGAAAAATATCCATCATCTAGTGGCCTGTTGGTTGGATTCTGGTCCCAGTTTAAACCTTTCTAGCCAAATGGCTTGAAGATATATAAAGCAAAGGTAGAAACCTTTGGTCCTCCACCCTGTTGTACTATATCATTCATAATTACTTTCCATTGGCCATGTGGGCTGTAGCTTCTGGGAGACAAAGTGCAAAACATCTGGATTCTAGAGGGCCAACGTTTCACCAAACCTGACCTAAAACAACAACTCTCCTCATATATGTTAGAATGCTTAGAGCAGCTTTAGACTCTCTCTTCTAGATAAACTTGTCCAATGCAGTCTGATGGATGCCTACAAGAGAAAGGCCCATACTCAGTTGTAGCAATAATGGAATGCCTTCCCCAAGAAGATCTGCCTGGCACTCACAGTTTTATTTTCAGTGTATTTTAGAGTATAGATAAGAGATGGGCAACTTCCAAGTTACCAGGTACTATTTTCCCTGGACTTCTGAGAGCCACACACCCCCTTCAGTAACCCTGACAGAAATCTGGAAAACAAATCACCTCTTAAAATGCAAATCATGCCTCATAATGGCATCTGGTATCTGGATAACATAATTTGCACTATATATCCCAAATTTGGATACAGTATATAGATCCCACTAAATCCTATTTGGGGCCTTAAAAGAACTTTTCAGAAACAGGAAATATCAACTGGTTATTCTGATTTTTAATAGGCTTTTGAAGTGGGGCAAAATGAGATATACTGCGCAACGCATGCTATGTAGAGGCTTAGGTGGGCACAATTTGCATTGGGTGGGCAAAAAGGGAAACTTTGAGGAGGCTGAGGGGGCCTGAAGTGGCTTAAACATTCATGCTGGAGCTTCTTGGGGGCTGCATGGGGCCGCACTTTGCCCATTCCTGGTCTAAACTTTAAAATTTCTATTTGCTGCTAAAGTGCTAGAATAGCTGCTCTTCTATTTCACTGCTGATGATTGTTATCATTTTTACAGTGTACAATTGTATTATGTAATAGATCCAAAGAGGGTGCTATAAAAGTATACAGCAACAAGCAAATATGTAGAACAGAAGTCTTTCTGCCCAAAAGCTTGTCTCCCTTACAATTATTTTTGTCAAAATCTGTCCCGTATTTGTGTCCTTTGACTAACCTAAAGCAGAACTATGGTCTTTCATCACCGGGTCTCTTTTTTGGACTCTGACTCATCTCTTTTCTTCCATAAGATACTATCAGCAGCAGCTTCCCTTACAGAACAAATAAAATGGAATTTCAGAAGATCAAGTCACATTTCTAATGCAGGTCAACTGCATGCTAGGTTGTGGTAAGCCAACACCCATTCTTGGTTTACAGTGTGGTGTACATACTGTGACAGTGAAGTCAGAGAAAGGCACCCTTCATAAGGAGCATAGGTGTTATAAGCAGATCTGATAGTTTTAAGAGAATGCATGCAAACTGTGAACATTTGGGTAAGATACCTCATCACTTCTATATAACAGTGAGCACTTAACAATACTGTACAGTATCCAGACTGCAAATGATTTTCATTAAAACATTACTCCTGTTTAATACAAAAAGTATGACGCATGGTAAGCTATTTTTAAATATAAATACTTACAAATCCATGGGTGCCAAGTACTTTTCTGGAAGAGGCAATTCTCCTTCTCCTATACACAGGAAAAATTGCCTCTTCTGCAATATTCCTGCCATGAAGTATGCATTCTCTGAGAACCAAGAAATCAGTCTTGGCATCAGCACCAGCCATTCTTGGGCCATACCCTGGGACCACTGATGATTGTAGCCCTAGGTAAAGGTAAAGGTTCCCCTTGACAAGTTTTGTCCAGTCGTGTTTGACTCTAGGGGGCGGTGCTCATCCCCGTTTCCAAACCATAGAACTAGCGTTTGTCCGAAGACAATCTTCCGTGGTCACATGGCCAGTGTGACTTAGACATGGAATGCTGTTACCTTCCCACCGAGGTGGTCCCTATTTATCTACTTGCATTTGCATGCTTTCGAACCACTAGGTTGGCGGGAGCTGGGACAAGCGACGGGAGCTCACTCCGTCGCGTGGATTCGATCTTACGACTGCTTGGTCTTCTGACCCTGCAGCACAGGCTTCTGTGGTTTAGCCTGCAGCTAACCGTTCATTAAACCATTATTTTCTCAGGCCTTTGCAGCACTTTAATTTCCCACAGTGTCCCCAACATAGCATTGCTCAGGGACACTGAGGCATTAAAATTGCTGACTCCCAGATATTCACTGGAGGGCATTCAAAGAGGAGATTAGCATATATGCTACAACTGGCACCAAAAAGCCCATCCAGGAGGTAGATGGCCAATTAATGGAAATTTTGCCAAGAGACCTATCTAACCCAGAGCTACCTTTTTCCTTCAGATCTGTTAATGTTAACCACTTGGTTGAGGAAATACAATTAATCAACAAACATTTCCGCCATTAGGTGAGAGCCTTATTTAAAGGTCAATTCTGGACACCATATCAAAATGCTTCCTGTGCATGCATTTGTTTGAATCTTTGGATTACTGCATTTTTTATTTAGGCATCTGATACATATACGTTATAACTGATTATGTGTCTTTTGTTCTGATTAGTAACACAAAATCTTCCAGCATTAAAATAAAACCTGTTGAGGTGCAAACAGCAGGTATGTAGATTAACTAGAACAGTTTTTATCAAACAACTCATAAGACAGAATTATGGGGTGAATGTGAGACACTTATACAGTTATCAGTAAAAAATTATGAACAAATTACTTAGCAATATGTGCATGTTCAACTGCATAATGCTGAACAACACTAATTATACTAGTCTGGAGAAGTTTATTCATATGACTATACAGCGAAACGTGATTAAGGTTCTTAATTGTCTGCCATATGAATGAAAAGGAGAAATAACACAAGGACCTTAACACAGTTACTTTCTACTATCTCTTGTGGGGGGAGAACATAACTGTTACTTGTATACTAGGAAGACAGACTACCTGCTTACATGAACCTGGCATGTACCTAGATGGCTCTGACTTTAAGTAATCCTGGATACAGCAGCTACACAGCTACATGCTAATTTCACATTATATAGCTTTTGCCTTCTACAACTTCCCACTTAATCACCTCTCTTTACCTAAGCAGATTTGTATTGCTAAGTCATTGAAGAGCACAGTTAAATTTTAAAAGCCTGTGACATAGTTATTAGGAAAGAAGAAAAATACATACCAACAAGAGATCTTAGATATTTTCCCTGTTTCTTGGAGCATCTTATCTTTATTTCATTAATTCTGTTGTGAAAAGAATAAATACAGGAAAATCCTTGGCTACAAGCACACATAGCACCAAGGTGGGTCTTCTTACCCTGGGTGTTACAAGGTACGTCATTCCCTCCTGCAGGACAATCTTATTAGGACCTAAGTGGCATCCATCCCTCAAATTGGGATCTAGCCAATAATGTCTTAAAAGCACATTCTCCTTACTACTTAATGCCAAGACCTAATTCATCAGACTCAAGCACATATATAAACAGACCACTTCCATATGCCCTCCAACTTTTACTACCTGGGTGTTACAAGGTACGTCATTCCCTCCTGCAGGACAATCTTATTAGGACCTAAGTGGCATCCATCCCTCAAATTGGGATCTAGCCAATAATGTCTTAAAAGCACATTCTCCTTACTACTTAATGCCAAGACCTAATTCATCAGACTCAAGCACATATATAAACAGACCACTTCCATATGCCCTCCAACTTTTACTACACTGCTCTGCAGCATCACAAATTATTATTATTATTATTATTATT